ATTCTATGATTCTATGATCGCAGAACTAGAAATTAATGATACCTTAGGTACGGATGATCACGGCTTGATCACATTTATAATGTGCAATCAGAGCAAAGTCCAGCCCAATGACAGGAATGCGTGGTGCTTTTAAAGGGCCAATTTCCTAAAGCTGAAAATAAGTATGAGCCAAATCGGCCATAAGAATTTAACCAGAAAGATGTCATGGTTAATTGGGAATTTATTCCTGAGGGAATTCTTCATATCTGTGATGTGTCCCATGTAATTTCCCACACCTCACCCCAGCAGAATACATATTTCCACTGAAGAAGTGCTTCAGATCCACCTTCTGCCCACCAGGGCCTCTGTGGCTTCAGAAACCCAGCAGCAGGAATGCAGCTGGCTGGTCTGTTGCCACAGTGGCCTTTTGTGGGCAAACGACAGAACTGCAGCGCTTCTGTTGCTCTATGTATTTTCTGTGTGGGGGGAACGTTCCATGTTAATATGTCTAGCAAGGAATTAACTTGTTGAAAAAATAAAAAGACCAGAATCTTTTTTTTTTTGGTCTGTATTTTTACAGACCTCCTGGCTGACAGATATTTTGAAATAAATTACCAAAATAATTGAAATTGGCATGATTATATTGCTTTATTTTGACAAATAAAATATACAAAATTTTGCAGAATTTTAAAATATGGTGTGCCGAAATTTTAATTTTTGGCACTTTTTTTTCTGGCACAGAATTTCCCTATGAATAGGAATTGTTGCAGAAGACTTTACTCGATGTCCAGAAAGACACAATCAAGAAAAGAGTCTGTTTTGGTTAAAAAATTGTCCAGTGGCTTCCTTTTATTTACTTCCTTCAGCATCCAAGCCCACAGTACTTTTTTGCAGGCAGCATTTCCCATCAACAAGAAGTCCATTCAAAAATCCTTTTTAATGTGAAGGCCCGTGATAGCCCACCTGATTCTGATAGTCCTTCCGGATGTGTGGTGTGTGGGGTGGAGGGAAAATTCCAATGCTTGGGTTCTCATGTTCAGAGCAAACATTTTGGTGTTATAAATCAAAGTGTGCATATTTCCTTATGGAATGTGTTGGAACACAGACATTGAATGTGAGATAGATGCAGGGAGGTACTTCTGAGCATTTCATAGAGTCTGAACACTAAATGCTTTCTTGTAAGACTCATCTCTATTTTGGATGAAACAAACACACAGGTGAAAAGTCTGGTCTCCAGCTATGGGTTTGTTAGTTCTCAGTTAATGCCAGCTGCCTGGGTCCGTCTGTGTCACATGGTGTGGTCCACCACTGGCTAGCTGTGTGGGGAGAGGGAGGGGGATGACAGCTCACTCCTGCATGAATGGGCCATCCCCAAGCCATGAGATTCCCTGGAGGGTCACCCCAAGACCATTAACCGTAGGTGTCAGGGTAAGGATGTTAGCCATCTATACACACAGCTTACAGTGAGCATGAGACTTGACAAGTTTCCAGCTATCAGTAAAGCCCTCACATCCACTAAAGCCCAGGGAAGTGGTGTCTTAGGTGTAGTGAGTTTGTCTGGTCTGAGACCGGAGTGGCTTGTGAAGGACAGTAAACACTTTGCTTGTTGGCACCAATGGGGTCACAGAGGGCTGGGAGCCAGGAGTCCCTAAGTTCCCTGTAAGCTGCGCAGCCATGCAGCCATCTATTTAGCGCTGCGCAGGTGCTCAAGGAGCCTGCCTGGGGACATGCCGCAGCCAGGGGAGAGCTGCCTCTCCCCGGGCGCCAACCTAGCTGGTCCTCCAACATGCCATGGGTGGGGAAGGGGTGGCTGTAACCCAGCGCCGGCCTGGACCTGCCACTGACGGGGTGGCCCTCCCCTGGCTGCAACAATGCCGAGACCCGAACCCAGCCGAGGCCAGGGCGCCCTTACCCTGGCCTGAACTCAGCCGCGGCCAGGGCAGCCCGGAGCTACTGCGGCCAGGGCACCAGGATCTGCGACCCTCCCCTTTTTCCAACCCAGCCCCAGCTGGAACCTGCCAGGGCCGGGAGAGGGGCGCCTTTCCTGCAGCCCCCGCCCTGGACCTGCCATGGTGGAGGGAGGCGCCTCTCCCCCCCAGGTGCTTCTGTAAAGAGAGAGCTGGGGGGAGTCCTCTCTCCTTGCGTTAGCCACAGAGCACCGTCCTTCACCCCAAACCGCTCATCCCCAGCCCCACCCCAGAGCCGGCACCCCCAGTCAGAGCCCTCACACCCATGCACCCCAACCCTCTGCCTCAGGCCTGAGCCCCCTCCCACACTCAGAACCCCCCCACCCCGCCACATGAATGTTGTTATGTGCACCAGTCTGAAGGTGATGTGTCACACAGGGTCGTGTCACACCTCACCTCCATACTGGTCCACATAAGAAAATTTATTCCTCAGAGGAGTGGGAAAAATGAGAGGGAACACTGGTGCCGGCCCCAGGACTCCTGGGTTCTAGCCCTGGCTCTGTGAGGGGAGTGGGGTCTAATATTTAGAGAAGGGGAAGAGGAGGGGGTTGGGAGCAAAGTCTCCGGGGCCCCATCCCTGGCTCTGGGAGGGTTGTGGAGTCTAGCAGTTAGAGTGGGGGAAGGGTAGATGGCTGGGAGCCAGGACACCTGGGTTATATCGCTGGCTCTGCTGTGTCACTTCCCCTCTGGTGCTGCACAGTCGTAGCTTCCAGCTGTACGACATCACAGATGCTGCCACATCCTCTTCACGTGGTCACAGACTCCCAAAAGGGTGGGGGGGGGGCTTGTCAGAAATGGCTGGTCTGCCCAGACCCACCCAGCTCACAGCTGGGCCAATATGAGAAAGATCCGCATTCCTACCAGACACTGAGATCAGTTGCTGTCACTCGTAGCCCCCATAGCAGAGACACGGGCAAGGAGCTGAGCGAGGATGGAGCCAAGTGAGTTTGAGCCCCAGATCTACCCAGCGCTGTCTTCTCCATCCAGTGGTGCATCATCCATCCAGCTGAGCAGGGACCCAGCCATGCAGGATCCAGCCAGCTGTACAGGATCACCGGCTCACGCACGGCGTGTCCTTCCTCCCAGCCCGTGTAGTTGGCTGTGGTTGGAAATTGAGATGCCTGAGCTCTGCATTTAGATGAGTGTGTGGGTGACACTGTGGTTTCCTGCCCCCCCGATACCCCCAAGCTGAGTCTATAAAGCCTGCAGGCCTGAGGCAGATTCACCATCCCTGCACTGACTCCAAACATGCAGGCCCAGATCTTGCTCCTGCTCCCCATGGCCTTTCTCCTGCCCCCCAGGGCCTGGGCTGGTAAGTACAGCTGGGATTAGGGCCCCTGGGTCATTCGGGTGAATGGGGGGGTCTCAGGGATTGGGGTCAGTGATGGTATCTAGGGGGTCTGTGACAATCTGTATCCATATGGTCACTACTTTTACAGGACTATGATACATTTTATGCAAAGAGTGCCTTGTGAATTATCATCTGAAAACTCATAATTTGCTGATCATTATTGTTCTGGTAAAATATTTGTGGCATGTAAAGTTGTCATAAATATTAAGGGAAGGGTAATATCATGTTTTTGTTTCTTTTTGTAACTTAAGGTTTTGCCTAGAGGGATTCTCTATGTTTTGAATCTGATTACCCTGTAAAGTATTTACCATCCTGATTTTACAGAGGTGATTCTTTTACTTTTTCTTTAATTAAAATTCTTCTTTTAAGAACCTGATTGATTTTTCATTGTTCTTAAGATCCAAGGGTTTGGGTCTGTGTTCACCTGTACCAATTGGTGAGAATTATTATCAAGCCTTCCCCAGGAAAGGGGGTGTAGGGCTTGGGGGGATATTTTGGGGGAAGACGTCTCCAAGTGGTCTCTTTCCCTGTTCTTTGTTTAAAAAGCTTTGTGGTGGCAGCATACTGTTCAAGGACAAGGCAAAGTTTGTACCTTGGGGAAGTTTTTAACCTAAGCTAGTAAGAATAAGCTTAGGGGGTCTTTCATGCAGGTCCCCACATCTGTACCCTAGAGTTCAGAGTGGGGAAGGAACCTTGACATTATAAGATTTTATTGCATGGTGTTACTCAGACATGTTTCAAGTCTGGGGAGCAGCCACAAACCACTTCCCTGGAGACAAACAGCTAGCTGATGCCTCAGCCAGGTGTCAATGTAATCAAATGGATCATCACCTGGTTAAGCGGCCAGTCTTGGGCAGGAAAGATGTGGGTGAAAAATTTACATCTTGACACAGAAACAGCTCAGTGTTACTGTCTGCTCAGACTTTCTGTCTTCTCAATCCCAGCGGAAGATGATTTTTGAAAAAGAGAAAGACCTATAAAAAGGAGAGCAGACCCCTCCCCCCAGTGACCTCTCCCTTTCTCTCTAACCACTGCACTCACAACACCAGAAGTACAAAGGAAGCAGCATAGGGGACAGAAACTGACTGAAAGCGACTCAGTCAGTAAGATTGCAGAAACATGTGATGAGCCAGACCTCACAAGGCATGCTTTGTACAGAATGTATCGACATCCTGTAATGGGTTTAACACAGGGGTACAGAATGTCAGGGGGGATCAGGGCATGTTGTCTCACCCAGCACTGATATCGATCAGTGTCACCCATCGCCTGCATAAGGAAGAGCTTGGGAAGGGCAAAAACAGCGACAACAGCACCAAGCAGTTCAGCACCGAGCAACAGACCCTATGTCCCATTCCTCGCCCAGTCCCCTTCTGGGGGCTCTCTGGCCTAATCTGGGGTGATGTTGGCCCCCAAAGCTGTGAACTCAAGGCAGGGCAATTACTGCCGCACTCCTGGTGCGTTTGTCACCCATTGTCCATCCAGCGACATCAGAGATTTAGATTCTCCTGTCAACCCCAGGGGGTGTCCAGTGTGGGGGAAAGCTGAGCAGGGGGCAGGGTTCCAGGCCCAGGGATCCCCCAGGGAGAGCATCACAGGGGTTGGGTTGAGGCTGTGGGGGCTCCCCTTCGGGATGGGGAGCTCGGTCCCAGCCCAGCCCAGGGAGATGATGGGGTTCTTTAGATGAACCTGGTCTCCCCCTGTAGGTGAGATCATTGGAGGAAAAAATGCCAAGCCCCACTCCAGACCCTACATGGCCTATCTGGATATACAACGCAGAAACAAGCTTATCAGCTGCGGAGGGTTCCTGGTGGCGGAGAACTTCGTGCTGACGGCCGCTCACTGCAATGGAGAGTAAGCGCCTCTGTGCTGGGGATGTCAGGGCAGGTTGGGCGTTAGTGGGTGATGGAGGAGCTGGGAGCTCTGGCGCTGTCCTACGTTGCAGGGAAGGAGCAGTTAGTAGGACAGTCTAGGAGAGCAGAGCCGAGGGGTCTGATCTGCTCAGGGGGAGGCAGCGTGTCTCTAGGGGCCTCTGCAAACCATGGTCGAGATCCAATGCTGGGTAAGTCAATGGGGCTACTGCCAGTGACACCAGCTGGGGTCTGGCCTATTGCCCAGATCGGGGCAGGGAGGGGCTCATAGCCCCAGGACAGCTCTGCAGGGCTCTGCGCTCGGGGGAGCAGGGCTTAGGCCCCTGTCTGGATCTAGTCAGGGATTGTTCTTCGGGGTGCAGGGGAGATGAGCCCTGGAGAACAATGGGGAATGAAGCAGCTCAGGGGGACAGCACAAGGGGCTGGGGGAGACACTTTGTGCTGCTGCCCTTGAGGGGAAAGGCCACTTGTGCCATTTCCCACCCCCAGCCCCCCCGGCCCCTCACACCTCTCCGAGCTAGCCAGTCCCCAGCCCTGGGGTGGGATCTGCATTGGCAAGGTGTACAATGGTGTATACATTTTTGCAGACCAGAAGCCGAGTCCATGATCACAGCCTGAGAGCCCCAGGGTGCCCTGCCCCATCCATATCATTATTCATGAATCAGACCCACATGTGCCCACCCCCCACCTCATGTACACTCCTGCAACGGATGTCCCATGGGTTGTGCTTGGCTTTTTCAGCAAGATCACTGTCAAGCTGGGAGCGCATAATATTAGTAAACAGGAACGGAGCCAACAAGAGATCCCTGTGTGTCGCCAGATCCTCCACCCACAATACGACAGTGAGACCACTAACAATGACATCATGCTGTTGCAGGTACCACTCCCATCCCATCAGCCGGCCCCCAGTGACCTCACACTGCTGCAGGTACCGCCCCCATCCCATCACCCCTGCCTAGTGACATCACACTGCTGCAGACACCGCCCCCAGCCCATCACCCTGTCCCCTTTGAGCACATGGTCAACGGGTTTTGCTGGGAACAGGGTGTGTCTGGGTGTCCATGAGTGTGACCCTCACATTGATGTTCATCATTCTTGTCGCTCAGCTGGCAGAGACAGTGAAGCTGAATAAATGGGTGAAAACCATCCCCCTGCCACGCACCAACAAGAGAGAGAAGCCAGGGACCAAATGCAGTGTCGCCGGCTGGGGCTGCACCAGCAAACAGAGTGAATCAGCCCCAGCCACCACACTCCAGGAGGCAAATTTGAAGGTGCTGGAGGATGACGTGTGTCTGAAAAATCCCGATGTGACCTACTATGACTATGATGCTTCCACCATGATGTGTGTGGGAGATCCGAAGAAGGGCAAAGCCTCTTTTAGGGTAAATCTCCTTCTGGCTTCAAGCTCCCTTGATAAATCGTTATTATGAATGAGGCTTTTGATGTTGCAGTCGGGCCTATGAGAGGCCAATAGGAGATCAGGCTCCACTGTGATTGGTGCTGTACAAATTAATGGGCAAAGAACTGGTCTTGTCTCAGGGGAAGGCAGAGACCTGCTGGACAGGGGAGTGGATGTGGTGTTTAGACCAGCTGGGTCGTGGGGTGCCAGGAGAGCTGGGTGGACATTGTGGGGTGACACTGGGACCAGCTGAACCAGGGGGTGTCACTGAGCTGCACATCAGTAGGAAATGACTCACTGAGCTGTTCTCCATCTATGGCTTGTTTAATTTTGCAGGGTGACTCTGGGGGCCCCCTGGTGTGTGGGAAAAGAGCCCAGGGCATCGTTTCATGGGGATCCCAAAACAGCGCCTCCCCTGGAGTATACACAAGAGTCTCCACCTTCATCTCCTGGATAAAGGAGACGATGAGGACGCTGGAGCCCCGAGCCGAGCCGGGAATTGCTGCACGGGCCAGAGCTGCACCACTTCTGTCCTTTGGAGAGGCCCAGATGTAGGGCCTGCTTTGCAGAGGGGCAGAGCCCCCCTAGGCTGAGCCCCCTCCCACAGCCTTTGTTACCATCAGGCAGCCCCCCCCCCCCCGCGTCATGAGTGTCAAGGTAGGGAGCTTAGGGGAGTTAGGAGCCAGGTTTGAGGCCAGCTCCCATCAGCTTCCTTGGAAATCCCAACCCTTAGACTACCTCTTTGCTGGGGAAACAGGTGGGTTATTTCCTCCCAGATAACAGACTTGAGCTGAACCCTGGGGAGGACCCAGTGGTTGGTAGCTCTCATCCGTGTCAGCTGGTCAAGTGACGGTTTATGGGAGATCCTCGTCGTTACCTTGACCTATTAACTCCTGTTGGAACTGCAGCCTGCCCTTTCCTCAATGGGCCTTTCCCAGGGGTTTGTTCCCCCTGGGTGGCCACCTGCTGTTCCAAACACACCTGTTCCCGGCGCCAGCAATGCCAGTGGGAAAGGAACTCAGCAACGGCGACGCTGAACTGACCGCAGATCAAACATTAGTGCTGATCCTCCCCTTCCCACTTCCTCTGCCCTGCCGCGCGGCCTGCTGCATTTCGCTCCCTGCTTCGTAGCCAGCAGTGAATAAAATGAAGTTACAAAAAAGAGTAATTCGTGTACTGCCATATTAACCTGAGCCGTGAAATCCAGAGCAGCCGCTGCATCTGCCAAGGCCAGGAGGGAATTGACCCCTACAGGGGAAGGTGGGCTTGTGGTTAATGCGCTAGGCTGGGACCCAGGACACCTGGGTTCAGTGATTTCATGCAGAATGAGGATCTGGTGGGTGCCAGTGGGGAATTAACCCCCTCAGGGCTGGAGGAATCCCTGCCTGCTTGGACAGAAAGGGAACTACAAGGAAGAAAGCAGCCTGAGCAATCAGCTGTCCAGGTTCCAGAGGTTCAACTTCTGGGACAAAAGTGGGACAGGTTTGAAATAGTTCTAGTGACAAGAAATTGATCTGCCTCTTCCCATCCCCATCCATCGATCTATCCTATCCTGATCTATCTCTCTAGGCAATCCCCATCCATCCATCTATCCCCATCCCACCCTCACCCACACCCACACCCACCCACCCCTCCATCTATCCCCATCCCACCCCCAGCCCTCCATCCATCCATCCATCCATCCCCATCCATCCATCTATATATCCCCCTCCATCTATTCCTCCATCAAACTATCCTATATCTATCTATCTATAGTGTCTCTCCCCATGCTATGTCAGAACCAGTTTTCATCTCTTTCATCTCTAGGAGGTGTGGGGACTGCCTGGCTCAGTGTGGCAGGGAATGGGACATGGGGCCTTTCCCCTTTGGATATGCTGGCTCCTGTCTGGCCTGGGCAGGGGGACTGGCTGGCTCAGGCGGGTGGAGAATCAGACACATTATTCGCCCCCCCCACACACACCTTATCAAGGGGTCTGCAGGAAACCGTGCTATCACAAATTGGGGGATCTGGTCTCTCTGACCCACATCCCTCCTCCCAGCTCACACCCACACTCAGGGCGGGAGGCAGTTGAGAAGAATTCATGGCTTCCTAGATTCCAAGGCCAGAAGTGACCATTGTGATCATCTAGTCTGAGCTCCTGACTTACACAGGTCACAGGCCTGCCCCACAAGAATTCCCAGAGCAGGTCCTGTAGAAAAGCATCCAATCTTAATTCAAAAATCAGCTGTGCTGGACTCTTGGCAAATTGTTCCAATGGTTAATTACTCTCACTCTTAAACATTTACACATTATTTCCAGTCTGAATTTTTCTAGTGTCAACCTCCAGCCATTGGATCACGTTAGACCTTCCTCTGCTAAACTGAAGAGCCCATTGTTAACTATTGCCTCTAGATATTTAGAGCCTGTCATCAAGGAACCAGGTAACCTTCTTTTTGTTAAGCTTCAGAATGAGCTCCCTGAGTCTCTCACTCTAAAACAAGTTTTCTGAACCTTGACTCATTCTTGTGACTCTCCTCTGATCCTACTTGCACTGTGAACACCAGTAGGACGAAACAATAGGCCTAAGGAGAAATTTCTCTCCCAGCTGGGGATCCTTCCTGAAGATGCTATAGAGAGTCTGCGAGCAATGGCTGGTGTGACACTACAGGGACATGTGCGCAGGAATGGGTGGGTGGAGGTGGGGGTGGGGGTGGTGATGGGGACAGATGGATGGATGGGGATTGCCTAGAGAGATAGATCGGGATAGGATTGATCGATGGATGGGGATGGATGGATCGGGATGGGAAGAGGCAGATCAAGGGGTTGCACCAGTGCCACATAGAGAGGTAAAATAACCTCTCAGCTCCTACTCGAGATTCCTCTGTTTGTACATCCCAGGATCACATTAGCCCTTTTGGCCACAGCGTCCCACTGGGAGCTCACATTCAGCTGAGTATTCACCAAGATTCCAAAGATTTTTTTTCCAGATCCCTGCTTTCCACGATAGAATCCCCCATCCTGTGCGTACAGAGTGCAAAACTTTATTCCTACATGTATATGTGATGGGTTCTCCCTGGGGGTGCCACCTGGAACTGGGGTATCACTGAGCCCCTCTGACCCACCACCCTGGGCTCTCTCATACACTGCACTGCAGTGACCAACCTGCAAAGCTCTCTCCAGGCTCCAGCCTCCACTTTCACCAGCACATGTACAGGTAGGGACACGCACAGCTGCAGTTACATGCAGTTGCTTTGACCAGTTACTGCATGGGAAGGCTCCAGCTAGGGAACATCCCAGCTACTCAGGGACCACCCCAGTTCCCCTCCACCCTGGAGTGTAAACCCAAAATTATACCATCTTGCGCTGCACAGGGAACTGTACAGTGTAAGCTCATTAAATTCGCCCCCTCCCTCAGTGTGCAGAGGAATATACAACAGCTTTCTGCCCCTGAGTTATGACTGCCACACACTCGTTTTAGACAAAGCAAAAACAAGTTTATTAAGTACAAAGATAGACTTTAAGTGATTATAAGGGATATCAAATAGAGAAAGGCAGATTACCTAGCCAAAAAAAAAAAAAAAAAAAAAGCAAACTAAGCTTAATATACTGCATAGATTGGCTATGAATAGCAAATTCTCACCCTAAGTGATGATCCACACAGGCTGCAGATTCTTAAGGGGCCAGCTGCACTTGCTTACAGCTTGGAATCTCCAGGTGTTCCATTCACAGGCTAAAAATCCTTTTAGCCTGGGTCCAGCACTTCCTCCAGTTCAGTCTTTGTTCCTCAGGTGTTTCCAGGTGTTTTTTTGGGTGAGGAGTCAGTGAAGAACCACAATGATGTCAGTCCTCTGCCTTATATACTTATATACTGCCTTATTTTGCATATGGCGGGAACCCTTTGTCTCAAAGTTTGGTTCCCACACCAGTCAGTGGAAAAATCCTGACATCCCAACGTGGAGTCCTGCACTAGGTGACCTGGTCACATGTCCCTGTAGTGTCACAGCAGAGAATTGCTCGCAGACTCTCTGTTGAATCTTCTGGAAAGCTCCCCAGGTGGGAGATAGGTTTCATCTTAGGCCTATTGTTTCTTTCTAATACCTCATCAACCTGAAGGGACCCTTCCCAGCCAGCCATCTAGACTGAGAGCCTTTTGCCTTGTGGGCATTACCCAGGTGTAACTACATGTGAGATGTACATCTTTCCTGATCACTCTTGTTACAGTCTGTATGGTAACACCCATTGTTTCATGTTCTCTGTGCATATAAAATCGGCCCACTATATTTTCCACTGTATGCATCTGATGAAGTGAGCTGTAGCTCACAAACGCTTATGCTCTAATAAATTTGTTAGTCTCTAAGGTGCCACAAGTCCTCCTTTTCTTTTTATGTATACGGACTAACACGGCTGCTACTCTGAAACTTGTGAGATATAGATCCATAGTCAATATTCATAACTTCAGATACAAAAACGATACATGCATACAAATAGGATAATTGTATTCAGCAAATCATAACTTTTCCATTGACACCTCACATAACAACATAAGAACATTAGAACAGTCATACTGAGTCTGACCAAAGGTCCATCATAGCCCAGTATCCAGTCTACCAACAGTGGCCAATGCCAGGTGCCCCAGAGGGAGTGAACCTAACAGATAATGATCAAGCGATCTCTCTCCTGCCATCCATCTCCACCCTCTGACAAACAGAGGCTAGGGACACCATTCCTTCCCAATCCTGGCTAATAGCCATTAATGGACTTAATCTCCATGAATTTATCCGGTTTTCTTTTAAACCCTGTTATAGTCCTAGACTTCACAACCTCCTCAGGCAAGGAGTTCCACAGGTTGACTGTGCGCTGTGTGAAGAAAAACTTCCTTTTATTTGTTTTAAACCTGCTGCCCATTAATTTTATTTGGTGGCCCCTACTTCTTATATTATGGGAACAAGTAAATAACTTTTCCTTATTCACTTTCTCTACACCACTCATGATTTTATAGACCTCTATCACATCCCCCCCTAGTCTCCTCTTCTCCAAGCCTATCATGGAATAATAACATGACTTATCTCGCATAAAATACATCATAACTATGTCATAATCATATCATAATAATATATGAAGAACGTGGGGTGCAGTGTCACCATATACATTTCCGTTTAGCCATATTTAAACACATTATTTGCTCGTGCCCAGTTTACTACAGGATCAAGATGTCTTTGTACCAGGGATCTGTCCTCTTCATTATTTACCACTCCCCCAATTTTTGTGTCATCTGCAAACTTTATCAATGAGGATTTTATGTTGTATTCCAAGTCATTGACCTGGTCTCCCAGGTCTATGGGGCTGCAGAGTTTTAATGGCCCCCACCTCCGGAGAAGGGGGACCAATCTCCCTGGGCACAATCTGGCTAAAGGAGTTAAGAGGGGGTTAAAGTAATAGTCCAAGGGGTGGGTAAAAAGAGGAAAGAAATGAGCTCCCAGCACAAACTTGAGAACAAAATTAATCAAGGAACCCAAGGATGCAACGACAAAAAATTCTTGACTTGCCTGTACCTCAATACTAGGACCCTTTAGAACAAACATGAGAAATTGGAACTGCTCATCTATGAGCATCAGTTTGGTCTAGTTCATATGACTGGAACCTGGTGAGATGATTCCCACGACTGGACAGTCAAAATCAATGCTTATAACCTATTCCGGAAGGATGAAGTGGACAAAAGGAGAGGGGGAGAGGCACTCTATATCGAATCTGATACCACCTGTTTCTAAGTCACTGATACCTTGGAGGAAAATGATCCTGAATGCTTATGGCTCAATGTCCTAGCTGATACAGCACAAGAGGGCATATTAGTTGGTGTGTGATACAGAGAAGATGGGCGAGGATGAATGGTTCCTCCTGCACTTGTCTATAACATGTATTAAAAAAACTGCTTCATCGTAGGAGACTTTAATCAGAGTGCATTTTCTGGAGAGTGCTGTGGAAGTGTGAAAGGGAAAAAAAAACGGATTTGTGTGCAGCCATTTAGTTTGGTTCAGAGACAGAGCAAGACTCAGGCTAACCCTAACTCTAATAATGCCAGACTTTAAGGCAGGGCTGGGCAAGTGGGAAAACTGTAAGAGATGCTGTTTTTTGACCTTGCTTTAGATAAGAATGGAATGCTGATTGTAACAGGAATTGCTGAGAA